TTATCTACAATCCACTCTCCTTATTTACAGCGATTCATTTATTTCAAAAGGATAGGGAGTGCGACTAACAAACCTTTCTGTGAATAGTATTGTCCCAACATTGATAATAAGACAGAAAGTGATAGGTTCCAATCAGAAGCCTATTGAAACTGAAGAAAATTTCTTCTCGTTTGGGTGAGAAATGACCACAAAATGTTTGCAAAATCCAGGTGATTCTTATTGCTGCAATTGAGTGCTTAAATACAAAAATTTCTAACTAAAATACCGTTAAATGAGGAAAAAATCAAAATAAATGATAAACTGTAAAGATAAGATTATGGCTGATTCCAGTTAATGGCTAGGCTCCATTTCATGCACGTTTCTCTTCTTCTTTTACACGTTCTGCTTGCATTCTGCACATATACTTCTACTCAGTCAAGATACCTCTTGGGTTTGGTCGTGAGGCGTGGTGGACGTGGTGATCCTTGTGGTTTATCATTGCCTTCCCCTTTTTTGGGAACCTTGTCCTCAAGGTTCATGTCGCTAAAGTGTTCTTGAAGTGCTTCAGCATTTTCCCATGTTGCATCTTCTCTTGAGAGTTGTTTCCATTAAACCAAATTTTCCTCTACAATGCGGGAGCCTTGTTTTGTCCGACAGGTATTAAGGATGGCATCTGGTTGTAGAGGAGCTCACCTTCATCTGTCATTGTTGGTAGGGCATCCGGGCTATTGGAGGCGTCTCATATTTTCTTCTTGAGGGTTCATGGAAGACTGGATGTATTCGGGCCTCGGAAGGAAGTTGTAGTTTGTATGCAACTGGTCCAATCTTTCGGATGATTTGTAGGACCCATAATAACGACAAGCCAATTTTTGATATGCCCATTTGAATGTTGTTTGTTGCCTGTAGGGTTGTAACTTAAGAAATACCCAGTCACCTTCCAGGAACTGAACATCGCGTCTCTTAGCTTGGGAGAGTTGTTGCATTTGGTTTTATGCTGTTTGCAGATTGGCCTTGAGCCACCTTAATGTATCATCTCTATAGTTAACTGATATCCACTCATCCACAAAGTCGCACCTGGTGGTACTTGAGATGACT